GCCCAGGATGTCAGATTTCTACCTTTGTAGTTTCCTTCTAGATGATCATGACCATGCTTATGATCGCACCGAAATGGGACAAGGTGCTGCATCAAAGACTCCTGAGTGCTGACAATCCGAGTTGGCTTCAAGACAGGGATGTTGGATTTGGGGCTACGGAGCCCGAGTGCACATTGGTCAATTCGGATTGACCAGGCTGGTCCAAGCACTAACTCCTGCCACATATCGGACGAGTGCGGATTCTCAGCATGTACATGACCTCCAAGGATGGTTTGGAGATGCCATGCTTCCGAAACACATTGCAGATGTCTTCTAGCTTGATGTCTCTTTTTCAATACTTCTTGTTTCCTAGACTCGGAAAATGCCATATTGAACCTCGACCAGGGACCCCAGCACTTACATGGGGGAGCAAACCAAATGTGATCAGGCTTTGTCAAGGCTACCAGGTATAGGAGATTTCGTCTATCCCTCAACCTACCAAGATCATGTCCATAATCTATCCCAATTTGGATTGCTGTTTTCTGGTTTCTCTTTTCGTACTGTTTGGACAAATTGGCTGTTCCTGTGAAAACTTCTATGAGTCCAACCTTGGAGTCAAGTTTACTAGCCTGGTTGCCCAACCAGTGGCGAAGTTCTGAAAGCACTTCCTGCCGATTGCTCTGCAGTCGCGACAAAGCCATGCGTACACCGACACGGCGTGCAGCTGTGATTGCGTCTTTCAGTTTCGTTTGGGTTTCTTTTGGAACATCCTGCAAGTCAAGATCTACCCAGTCAACCTCTTCATACAAAGTTTCGAGGGTGTTTGATTGCATGGTGTATCCCCAATCCCCTTCTATGTCATCATTACAACAACAATCACATTGGTGCGCTGATGGCGTCGGCTCTGCTGGTTCGACACGATCGGACTCACTGCCGGCGCTCTCAGGTTCAGAGGGTGCTTGCTCGGATCGAAATGCAAAGATCGCAACCTGCATTGGGTTGACAGGTCTTCTGACCCGTCCGGCTGGACGAACGATCCATCCTGACATGAGCATGTTTCCATCTTTATCCATAGAGACTATCTTCATATCAAGTGAAGTTCGTTCGGCTTCGGCAGGAATCCTTTCTAGTCTAGGTTTATATGCTACATAGGCATGCACCACCTGGTGTTCGGGACATGAAAACAACTGGGACAGCTCGGCGCGAAAAGCACTGCAATCGACGTTTCCTCGTTTGGTATGTTTACACACAGTTTGAAACGCCCTCCGAGTATCACACGGGGTTGGCTCCATTTTTGGTGCACTTAAAACACTGTTTTTGTTCGTGTCCTGTCCTCTGAGTTCTTGGTGGTGCTCGAGATCAACGGAGATGGACTGGCGGTCCATCGCTTGGGCTTCATGCGGATTGGGCTCATTTGTATTCGAGTCGTTGAGGACTGTCTCCCACTCAGCAACCTGTGGCACCAGAGACAACAGCAGATGGCCATTTGCGGCCTGTTTCAGGGGTACATCTTGCATACCATGTTTTGGACTCGTGATGGTCATTCGGCCCAAGTCCAGTGTGGCCTGCATACCCTCCAACACCCTTCGTGACAGCAGGAATGGTGCGCTTCCAGGAACAACATATGTCGTGATATTCCCTTTCAACGAACCCAGCTGTACTGTCCACTTCAAACCAACAGCTGTTGTTTCGCTCTGACCATTAAAGCCACGAAGCTCAACTGTAGGCATTGTGACACGCACGGGTGGAGGAAAATTGCATTGTCTGAAAACCTGCTGATATCTCTGTGCTGTTTCCTCGCCAACAACGGATGTTGTACAACCAGTATCAATGATTGCAAAACCCGATGGAATTGAGGCCAGGAGAATTTCCAGTTCAGCAGCGGTGGACTCGGTCAGGGCATAGTTGAACTCGGTCAATGTCCTGTCAACAATCTCCACAGCTTCTGTCAGGTTGGCGTCCTCACGCCTCGGTGGTTTCTTCTTTGGGTCCTTTTGTGGTGACTTCTTGTCAAAGGACCTTTTCTCATAGCGTGGTGTTCTGGACGATGCAGCCTGAGTTCCCAGTGGAGCCTGGGACTGGCCGCCTTCGGTGGGTGGAATGGCCACCACCGGCATGTATGGTTGTCGTGCTCTTTTGATTTCCCTCACCTTCTTCTTTGACTCCTTGTAGGTGCGAAACTGTTTCTTGAATTCTTTCTTTGCTTTCTTCTGAATCTCATAGATCTCCTGCAGCTCTTCCTCAGAACCTGAACCCAGAGATGTTTCGCCACCCTCAACTTGGTAGGCCTCTTCACCAGACCCGGAGTCAGAAAGTGGGTCGATGGAGGTGGATGAAGCTTCAGCAACTTGTTCAACAGCATAGGCTTCGCGTCGTGGTCTCACCTGTCGACGATCGTCCGGCCGTGGTCGCCGGTCATCCAATCTCTCCTCATAGTCACTAGCGCGCAAAATCTTCTCAATGTCAACAAATCGACTGGAGCCACCTGTTGAACGAATGATGTGGCTGCGTTGCTCACGCGACAAACCAAACTTTCTCATGAACAAGTGTCCCAAAACTGACTGTGGAAAAATCGGCTTGGGCTTTGTATGCGACTGCTCCAATGTTCCAAGAAGACGTTGCATACGGAGATGATCTTTTCGCTGGTCACCTTTTTGAGTCCCAGTGGACTTCCCCTGAGAAGCCTTTGAGCTCGACTTCGCACTTCGGACTGATGGAGTGGATCCGGTCCGACGATGAGGATCAAGGGGAGGATCAAAAGGACCTGGAGGAGGTGCTGCTTTGGCCTTGGCTTCTGGCCGGACTTCATCTCCAGCTTCTTGTTCAGTTTCATCTGTTTGTTCATTGGGATCGTCTGGAGGTAGGGCATGTTCGTCCGACTCTTCCAGACTACTCGAATCTTCCTTTTTCTTTTCTTCTTCGACTGCGGACTTCGGTTGCTTCTTCGACAGCTGACGCTCCTGTGAGATGAGCGTTTCCAGGCGATGCAGACTTGTCTTGAACCGGGATGTGAAGGAAGTGGCTCCCTCATGTCCTTTCCGCTTCAACCCAAAAAGGAACTCATCTATGGCCTCGTGGAGCTCGGTCTCGGGCAAATAACGGTAATGCTGATCAAGCGTCCGAACAATTTGCAGCCAGCCTTGTTCACATCGAAGGTCAGCAATTGGAATGTTTTCGGTCGCTTTCCAAGCTTCGCCAGACAATCTTCCGAGGACTCGAGGACCGGCCAGGTGTTGTTGCTTGTCCTCAAGGGATGCAACACCAAGGATCAGCTTGCGTCTGAACTCACGATATCCGCTTGGCTTCCCATCGAAGTAGAGGTCTTTGAGAGTGTCTTTGTAGTCCATGGCTCAAACTGCCAACAACAAACAACAATGTTCCACAACCAACAATCAATGCTCAATGCTCAACAATCAACGTCAACTCAACCTTGCACCACTGCACAAGCAATGTACCTAGATGGCACGAGCTGCTCTGCGGTTTGCACCGCACCCGGGATCAGGCCGGGACCTCACAAAGCAATCCTGGAGCTTGGCAGCTCCGCTACCATGTAAAATGGTGAGCGGAGGATCAACAGCAACTTGTAAAGGCAACTGTCACAACTCAACCAACGGGGATCAAAGAACTCCGTCACGATCAAAAGCAAGCGGTACGCTCACTTTTCCATTGCGCAACCGTCGGGGGCTCGGATGAGCCAGACTCAAGGGCCCTTGTGCCAAAATGGTCACATGAGAGGGCCGCCATCTCATATCATGATATGCATGTTCCAATGCATACAAATTCACATATATAGTATATTACTATACATGATATTTATATATCTATATGTAGATTGTATGTTTAAACATGCTATATATGATGTGTTTTTTTTTGTGCTTCTTTGGACCTTTCCTTGTTCCTTCTCTCCCTCTCTCCATTTTCCATCTTCTCCATCAAAGGAATTCTAGAAGAGAAGCTTAAGGGGGGGCCCCTGACCACTCATATATATAGTTCGTCAAATAACACGCTTGCATCATAACTTGCCTAGCTCGCCAAACAGCAAAAATCATAGCTACCTCATCGCTCAGCTAGCTCAAGAACCTCGAAAAGGAAAGCTAGCGAAGGTTGCTGGTGCCGGGTTCGAACGCTGGTCGTTTCGGCGTTTCCGGGATGGAACTCTGCTGTCTGAATTACGGCAGTGCCGTAGGCTGGGCGCAATTCTGGGCTGGGCTGGTTCGGTTGGGGAAGAAACTTTGGGTTGAGCAATGTGTTGCCAGCTGGCTGCTTTACTTGGGAGAGATGGAACTGCAGGTTTCATTGATAGGGCTGCGTCAGGTGTGTGCTGGTTTGCTTTGGCATCGCAAATCTATTGGCCAAAGCAATTGAAGGTTCCAACCAAAAGGCATGGTCATCGCTGTGTAAGGTGGAGATTGCTACCCAAAAGTGCCAAAGAATGAAGATTCGACTTGATCACAGCAAACAGGGGTTTCTAGTTTCGGTAGCGAGCATGGATTGGGAGGTTCCTGCAAAAAACATGCGCAGGAAAGCCGACACGTTCAGCAGAAGGTACAGAAACTTAGCTCTAGATAAAAGTATGTAAACCTGGCGTTGTTCAAGAAAAGTTGAGTCAAGTCCAGGTTTCCTGCAAAAGGCGCACACTCGAGATGAGGAGTGTGGATTTCGGAAGGGGAGTGCAGAAAGTCTTTTTTGGTTTAGAACAGGTATAAAAAAGCAGTATAGGTTTCCCGGCTACGGAGGTTCCAGAGCCAAGGAGGATTCTAGACCCATGGAAAGGTGGCGATTGTAGAGGGGGAAGTCAGTTAACAGAGTGGAGATTTTTTGAGGAGTAAACACTGTATTTACTGTATTATCGAGAAGACAAGGTTTCCAAGGAAAGGAGGTGGAGGCTTCCAGGGGAAAGCGCGCTGCAGATAAACAGAAGTAGAAGAGATTTCAGAAGAGAAGTGTGAAAAAGTAGAGGGCTCCGAGGAAAGTATGGAGATGACCCATTGTGCGCGTAAAGATTTCGATCATTGAGCGAGGCAGCCCTTAGCAATCTGCCTGAACGTGACCGCGCAGTGCAAAGAGCAACTTGGTGACTGAGGAGGAGGAAATGGCCGAAGGATTTGGCCAGAGATCTAGTTCTGGGAGTTAAGGCCCTTCCGAAATGGGGAAGATAGCTTCCAACCTACTAGCGATTGCCTCCAACCTACTAGCGATGGCCTCCAGCGATGGCCTCCAACCTACTAGCGATGGCCTCCAACCTACTAGCGA